GCGTAGACAAAAAGTATACCTCTGCCTCCAGGTATCACAACAGCTGCGAACCTCAGGCTCAACTGCGGAAAACAATCCTCACCACCCTAAATAAGGCACATAAGAGAGCTGAAACGTGGTATTGGTCAATGACCCGATGAACAACATATTCGTTTGTGTATTGCATAAATTATTTTTTTCAACACGTTTTCACATAAACATCCACTTGCAAACCCAACGAAATATGCAGCTAATGTTTACTGTAATGGTAGAAGAATTTGTAAAGATATGATGATGTATTTGCACGAATTTCATTGCAACCAACCGAACGTCAGAAAGCCCCCGATGGCGGCTACACATAGGCAACGAAGACAGCGTTAAAATATGCAGAGCCATTACCGGACTCCATTCCTGATACTTCCAAAACGGGCAAGGACCGAGGTTGCAAGGCTGATGAGTGGGCGGTTGAGGCTGACCATTGCTTGAACAGTGTCTGGCGTCGATTTCCTCGCCCCTGCTGTCGAAGCAGGACACCTGTCGACTCTGCCAGCCGTCGAGACAAGTTTGGGAACACTAGAACGAAGGCAACACCACATGTATATAAGAACGGTTTCAAGATCAGGGGTCAGCATTAGGCACCTGCGACCATTCGCCGAGTTGCCAGTGGGGACAGTCGGTAACGTGGCACGGCTTACTGACGATCTTTTGTTCCTTGATGCACATCGAGTCGTCAAGTACATTGTTCTTACTGTCGACACACCATGCTGAACGGGAGGCCAAGCCCTCGCCACACGTTTTTGAACACTGAACTAAAGTCTAATGAAACGAGCCACCGGCCACCAACAACGGGAGCGTACCTCTGACCATGCGCCGAACTTCCAGTTGGTGCACAAAACCTCGTTGCATTTCTGCATGTACAATCTTTTGTCGGCGTCGCAAAAGCTATCGTCGATTTCGCGTCCCGCTGCATCCACACACGTCGCCCGTCGAACCTGGATGCCACCGTCACACGTCTGTGAGCACTAGAAAATCAACGAACATCGGATTAGGAGTAGGCCAGTCTAAGGGTTTAAGGCCAGTTGCCAGAAAACCTACCATGGACCAGTCGCCGTACGACCAGTACGGACACGGGACGGTGTTGCAGCTCTGTTCGAGCGCCTCTTTAATCATGTTCTCGCAGTAAAGGCCATCCAACACGTTGCCCCCGGAGTCGACGCACATCGCGTTTCGTTTCTGCAGCCCGCTGCCGCATGTCACGGAACACTGAAAACTCATCATCAGCATTTGATGCTGAGACCAGTAGCCTTACGGTCCCCCATTCTCCGTAAACCCACTTGCGGCCGGCGCAGTCTTTGTAGCAGTCTCTGGTGGACGACGGCATCGACAGATCTCTGCAGTGCGCGTCGTCCACTCGTTGCAGAACCTTGTTCGACAGTTCGTGAACACAATACGCTCGCTGGCTTTGTGTTCCCGCGCCGCACACGGCTGAGCATTCAGAAGTGACCTCGACCTCCCATCTGAAAGTGTTTCCTTCAACAAGCAAGCAAAATAACAAACAGAACGATGCCACTTTACAACTGACGTGACTATCAGAAGTATAGGATACAAGGGTCTCGGAAGGTCCTCACAGTTGATCTGAGGCCATAGAGTTAAGCATCCATCAGGCGTTTGCGC